ATATATATAATATACGCATAATACGTATAAATATATTGTTTGTTGTACAGTCTGTATATTATATATAAATATATACTATACACACTAATATATACACATATACATATATTTATTTATTTATATATTTATATATACAAATATATATAAATATACTATATATACATCTAAATATAAATACATATAAATACATATATAAATAATATGTATATATATAAATATATAAATACATACAAATAAATAAAAATAAATATGTATTTATATTTACGTATATAAATATATATATTTATATATATAAATATATATAAATAAATATATATTTATATAAATAAATATACACAATAAATATATTTATTACTACAAACAAAGTTAGACAGCCAACAGTCTTCTCGTTAATTCGGCCAAATCATCTAAACCCTTTTCCCCTTCAGGGGCCCCCCCCTGAGGGGCCCCTAGGGGGCCCCCCTGAGGAGGGCCCCCTTCGGGAGCCCTTGAGGGGCCCCCCTCCTTGGTTGGGGAAGAAGTGATGTTCGCTCCTCGTCTCCGTTCGGCACGAAACAATTCTCTGCGAAACGCACAAACCCTAAACCCTAAACCCTAGACCCTAGACCCTAAACCCTAAACCCTAAACCCTTTCTTTCTCCCTCCTCTCTGCTTTTTTGTCTCTATCTACCTAAACCCTAAATATAAATAAATAAATAAACAAATAAATAAATAAATAAATAAATAAATAAATAAATATTATATATATTATATATATGGGGTGTATCCTCACCTCTGTAATTTCTTTGCCTTTTTTAGCTCTGCTCTTTCTCTCTTACTTAATTTCTGCTTCCTCTCTAGCTGCCGCACCAGCATCAGCTGCTGCTGCTGCTGCAGCTGCAGCTGTTGCTGCTCATCTGCTGCAGCTTTGCGTGCAGCAGCAGCAGCAGCTGTATCCTCTTCACCCCTTCCAGCAGCAGCAGCAGCAGCAGCAGCATCCTCTTCAATGACAGACACCCCGCCACCTTCAGCAGCAGCAACTGCCACTCGATATGTTCGATACCTTCGTCCTGCTGCTGCTGCAGCAGCAGCAGCAGCAACTGCTGCTTCTCCCGTTGCTGCTGCTGCTTCTGCTGCTGCTGCTTCTACTGCTGCCTCCCCTGACACCCACATGCGGACACACGGCAACACAGAGATACGCAGCGATGGAAGGGAAGCAGCCCTCCTGCTGCTGCTGCTGCTGCTGTTGCTGCAGCAGCTGCTGCTGTTGCTGCTGCTGCTAATATAATTGACAAGGGGAGGCATCTCTATCCGCAGCATTGTGGGGCCCGCAAGGACCTCGCAGGGCAGCGGCAACTCTGTTGCTGCAACAAGAATCTTTTCTGCTGCTGCTGCTGGTGGTGCTGCTGCTGTTGCTGCTGCTTTCGCTGCTGCAGCTGCTGCTGGCTTCCCAGTAGGTTCCTCCCCACTGGATCCGTCTTCTGGTGCTGCTGTTGCTGCTGTGTCTGCTTCTTCATCTGCTGCATCTGCTGCTTCTGTTGCTCCTGTTGCTTCTTTTGCTTCTGCTGCCTTGGCTGCTTCTGCTGCTTGTGTTGCTGCTTCTGCTTCTGTTGCTGCTGCTGCTGCTGCTGCTGTGCGTCTGCTGTTGCTGCTGCGGAAACGAAGGGAAATTTCCTCAGTAAAAAAGAGACCCCCTATAGCAGAACCCCTCATGGTGGACCTGTTGGTGCTGCTGCTGCTATTGCTGCTGCTGCTGCTGCTATTGCTGCTGCTGCTGCTGCTGCACACAAGGTTTCCATCTAAGCTGGCCTCAGATGTACTGCTGCTGCTGCTGCTGCTGCACTGTTGCGGCTGCAGCGCCGCCACAAACACCGAGCGATTGCCAGGCCACTTGTTGGCCAGATCGCTGCATGCATTGCTGCTGCTGCTGCTACTACTACTATTGCTGCTGCTACTGCTGCTGCAGTCTGCAGGGGGAGTGACGGGCTGCTGCTGCTGCTGCTGGTGCTGGTGCTGCCTGCGTTGCCTCTCAGCAGCAGGCTCGCAGCTTTCCCATCTGCGGTGGGCTGCATGTCCTCCCAGCAGCAAAACCTCCATTGTTGTTGCTGCTTCTGCTGTTGCTGCTGCTGCAGCATCACTACATGACATCTGGGGGCCCCTAGGGCCCCCCCATACATTTAGGGTACCAATAAGGTCCCCTTTTCTTGATGAAGAAATAAGAGAGGAGCAGCAAAAGGAACAAATGTGTCTCCTTTCTTGTATAGAGGATAATTTCTTGAGAACTCTCTCCCTATCCTCTTCCCTAAGACACATGCTGCTGCTGCTGTTGCTGTTGCTGCTGCTGTTGCTGCTGTTACTGCAATTGCTGCTGCTGGTATGATTAGTTGCAGGAGATTCCCCAGGTTCACCTTGTGTCTTATGTTGGTGAGTTGTGGGGCCCCCCTGGGGCCCCCCCTGTATGCCCCCTCCCTCTATATGTTGTTGATCATTGGGGGCCCCCCCCCTATTGGTATTAAATGCCTCAATTTGTGCTAATGTAAGAGAAGAGGGGGCCCCCTGCCTATGGGTACTTAATCTAATTGAGCTATAATGCTCTCTTATTGGATCAAATGCTAATTGTAAACAAATTGCATTTTCGTCAAAATTCTGCATCTTCCATATTACCCATTGAGGGGCCCCATCTGCTGCTGCTGCTGCTGCTCCTGCTGCTCCTGCTGCTCCTGCTGCTCCTCCTGATGACGATGATGATGATGATGATGGGGAGGGGGATCTACCACGGGCATGAGATAAAGATCCTCTCCTTCTATCCGATCTTCCATTCTTATTCCTATTCCTGCTTCTACCATTCCTGCTGCTGCTGCTGCTGCTGCTGCTGCTGTTATTATTATTATTATTAGTATTATTATTTTCTTGTGGGGCAACATATATAAGGAGATTTACTTTATATGCTAAGGATATTGCCTGTAACTCTAATTGTCCTCCCCATGTCCCTTCTCTCCCCATTCGTCGTAAATAAGAAGAAAAACTTTCTTCTTCCTCATCAATAAATGCAGAAAAAAAAGATGTATTTTTATGCATATAATTCACTGCTGCAGCACGAACTGCAGCATGCTGATGCTGCTCACCATATAATTGATCTGCTGCTGCTCTAAATAAACAATTACCATCAGCTATTACTCTCTGTAGTCTTAGACCTGCCCCTAGGAGGCCTCCATCCAATGGAGGTTCGCCATAGGAAGAAGAAGGGGGGCCCCCCCTAGATCGAGAGGGGGCCCCCCCTGAAGGGGCACCCCCCCTACTACGACCACATATACACGACACCTCTGGAGATGTGGGCGAGGAAGAGGGAGATGGGGATGAGGAGGATGCTGCAGCAGCAGCAGCTGCTGCTGCTGCTTTTGATAGCAAAGGACGACCGCAGCCGCAGCGGCGGCCTGAGCCGCTGCTGCGCTGCTGCTTCTTCTGAGCCATTAGAGATGTTCTTCTTTAGATAAATAAAGATAATAATGACAATAAAAACTAAAAATTAAAAGCAAATAAACAATAAACCCTAAACCCTAAACCCTAAACCCTAGGGAATACACCAGGCGACTGTTTAGGCCCCAGCAAAAGACCGTCTGCAGCCCCAATAACAACAACACAGCTGCTGCTGCTGCTGCTGCTACCTTTGCTGCTGCTGCTGCTGTTGGTTATTTTACATATTTACCGTCGAGGAGGATATATTTTAATACTATTTGTTTCTCCTCCCTCGACTTCTTTAACAAAACAAACAAAGAAAGAGAAAACACCACGCATAGCAGCTCTGCTGCACGGCCCGACCGTGAACAACATTCAACGGCCTAAACCCTAAACCCTAAACCCTAAACCCTAGATCCCTTACGGGAAGTCAAAGGAAGCCTCATTTGCTGTCTTTTTATTCTTTTATTGCTTCCAGTTCACCCTACGATCCCCTGTGTCTTCTTAACGGGGGGGGCCCCTAGACAGGCCCCTGCTGCAGCATCCTGCTGCAGCAGGCTGCAGGGGCAAGTAAACCCTTTTGCTGCATTTGCTGCAGTGAATTCGTCTGCAGCAAAACCATCCCTTACTAACGTTACTCCTTACAAAGACTGCAGCAGGGGGCCCCTACGTGCTGCAGCTCCTACGGCCCCAATGCAGCAACAGAGCAGCATCCGGGGCCCCCCTAGCTCATGAGCACAGGGAGCCAACAGGCCAAAATAGCAGCAGCAGCAGCAACACTAGCAGCAAGAGAGCAACTGCTGCATCTGTTGCTCTTTACAGCCTTCGGTTTGCTCTACACAGAAGGGCTTACCAATGTGGCAAGGCAACTCCGCTAGAGGGGGGCCCCCAGGGGCCCCTCTCCCACCAACAGCAGCAGCAGCAACAGGAGGAGGGGGAGCAGCATCAGCACCTTCGTCTCCGTCTTCCTCAATAGCAGCAGCGCCAGCAGCAGCACCTACAGCAGTAGTTGGTACTGCTACGTCTACGACTACTGCTGCTGCTGCGTGCTCCTCTCCTCTTGCTGCTGTATCTGCATCTCCTGGGGGCCCCTCTGGTGGTCGTTTTTCTTTGGGTTCCCCTCGTATTATTTTATCTCTTTCTCCTTCCCCTGCTTCTTCTCCTTCTTTCCCTGCCATGCCTAACCCTCAGGTGCCGCTAGACGCGCAGGTGCCCCTAGATGCACGGGGGCCCCTAGACACACAGGGGCCCCCAGCCGTAGAGGGGCCCCCAAACACGAAGGGGCCCACAGGCGTAGAGGGGCCCCAACAAACTCCTCAAGGGCCCCCTCGTACCCACCGACATCGCGATGCCGAGGGGCCCCTCGAGCCGAGGGGACCCCCTGAGCCTCATGTTGCCCCCCAACATAAAGGGCCCCAACCCCCAGACGGTGGGGCCCCCCCCACAGGGGGTCGTCTGCCGCCAGCATCTAGACCTACAGGGAGGGGGGCGGCAGGGGCCCCTGCGGCCCCTCCAGAAGGCGTGGGGGCCCCTCCCTCCGCGTCAGTTGTGAAAGGCCCCATTGGGGAGGCGCCCCTAGGGGCCCCCTCTGAGGGAAGGGCCCCCCCTGCAGGGGGTACGCTAGCAGCATTTAAAGTACCCCTTTATAAAGATGGTTCGTCAGGCAAGGGTTTGTGGTTAGTTGGGGGGTCCCTCCCTGAGACAGTGGCCCTTAGGGGGCCCCTCCTTAGAGCTATTCGTAAACTTATTGAGGGTACTATTAAGAGACCAAGGGGGGGGGCCCGAGGGGGCCCCCAAGCCATTGCCGCTGCCAAAGCTGACGCTATCATAAGGCGACTTGACGCTCTTCTTGCGCAGGAGGGGTGTGTTCCTTCATAGGCTAGGGTTTAGGGTTTAGGGTTTAGGGTTTACGTGCTCGGGTTCAGCATGTGTGGTTGTTTAGAGTTGGGGTTTCTTGGCGGCACGGAGTTACACCGCATGCTGTCTTTCGTGTTTACGGTTTACGGTTTAGGGTTTGGGGTTTAGGGTTTAGGGTTTGGGGTTTAGGGTTTAGGGTTTAGGGTTTAGGGTTTAGGGTTTAGGGTTTATGTATGTGTGCAGGGAAGCACCAAAGCGATCTCGGGCACCGCGAAGGTCTGCAGTTCAACCAGTAGGGTCATGTGAGGGGGCCCCTACCGAGACCCCATCAGGGGCCCCCAAGGGCCCCCCTGGGGGCCCCCAGGGGTCTTGGAGTTCCTCGACTGATGGAGGAGATAGGAAGACTACAACAAAAGAAGGGGCACGGGGGCCCCTACGAGACTTGGGGTCCCTTGAGGTGTCTCTGGGGGCCCCCGATGCATCCAAGGGGCCCCTCGTTGTCTCTGTGCAGCGGCTGCCTCCGCTGCAGAGGCAGCAAAGACAGCAGCAGGAAACTCCTTCCTTTACAGATGAAGTCCGGCAAAAGCTCACAGCGGTAAGTAGCCAGGTAGCTAGCTAGCTAGCTAGATAGCTAGCTAGCTAGCTAGGTAGGTAGCTAGCTGTTTAGCTGGCTAGTACACCGTTGAAGGTGCTGTGTAGGGGTTACCGCTTGTGCTTTTTGTGTGGCGGTATGGAGGAGGTCATCTGCTGTTGCTTCTGCTGCGTGTGCTGCTGTTCCTGCTGCTGCTGCTGCTGCAGCAACTGTGCGAGTCTGCTGCTTCGCTGTTTGGAGCGGCGGATTCGTTAGTTGAGGATTTTAGTGGTTGTCCTGCAGCAGATGTTCTCCCTCAGGCCTGCGGTGGGTGGAGATGTCTGCTGCTGCTGCTGTTGCTGCTGCTGCTGTTGCTGCTGCTTCTGTTGCTGCTGTTGCTGCTGCTTGTGCTGCTCCTGTTGCTGCTGCTGCAAGCAGCAAAGGCTTTCGCCTCTTGAGGTTGCTGCTGCTGCTGCTTGTCGACTTCTTATGATAGTGGTATGAAGGTCCTTCGCAGTTCTAAGGAATTGCTGCTGTTGTTGCTGCTGCTGTTGCTGTTGCAGCATCGGAGGTGCAGCGGATGCTGAGCCGTTGCTGCGTATTGACGGGACCCCGCCCCTTCCTCCTATCTGCAGCAGAAAAGGAAAAGGATTTGGGCGCCCCCCTTGCAGGTCCTCGTGGATATGCTTCTGCTGCTGTTTTAGCAGAAGGGGCCCACCGGATACCTCTTGGTATGCTGCTGCAGCAGCAGCAGCAAATAGACCCTCATTGTGGCGATGTATACATTTCCCTTAAGGAGCCGTCGTCAAAGCAGCAGACAGAAGACCAACGGAACAGCAGCAGCAGCAGCAGCAGCATTACCAACAAGCAGCAGCAGCAGCAGCAACAGGAGGAGGAGGTTGTATATTCTGAGGATAAGCAGCGTCAACCAAAGAAAGAGGAGCAGCAACAGCAGCAAGAACAACAACAACTGCAGCAGCAGCAGCAGCATAAGGATGATATAATGATAAAGAGGCCTGGTGGTGTTGGTGGTGCATACATACCCATACAGAACGGCATCATGAGCAATAATAACAAAGAAGAGGAAAATAAAAGAAATATATTATATAATAATAATAATAATAATATAAATAATAATATAAATAATAAGAATAAAGAAGAAAAAGAAAAAGAAAAAGATGAATATTTTTCTTTATATGATGCCTTTTCTTCTTTCTGTTCATCATCGGAAGATGAAATGGCGGATGGCGTTCCTTTTGATGAGGCGGATGGATTAGCTGAGGTGTATGTACACCCTACAGCTGTATCCTTTCTTACTCCTAGAGGATTTGATCCATTAGGTATGCGTGCTGCTGCATTGCAGCAACAAACACCAACAGATCAGCTATGGGGGTTACTACTTTCCTTACCGCAGCAGCAGCAGCAGCAGCAGCTACATCCTGATGCTGCTGCTGATTGGATACGTAAACAAATCAGGAGGAGAAAAAGAATTCATAGAAGACAATTGCTGCTTAGAGCTATGCAACTCGAAAGAGCTGCTGCTGCTGCTGCACAAGGCAATTCTGCTGCTGCTGCACTGCAGCAGCTCAGACCACATGAGCAACACGAACTTAATAGCATCTATAAGCTGCTGCAGCAACAGCAGCAAATGCAAAAATGTCTTAAAAAAAGAAAACAAATGATGGCACATGCACAAGCTCAACAACAGAGGCAGCAGCAGGAACAGGAACAGCAACAGCAGCAACAGCAACAACACCAGCAACACCAGCAGCAGCAAACACAAATGCTGCAGCAGCAGCAACAATCAATGATGCAACAACAGCAGCAACAACAGGACCAACAGCAGCAACACTGCAAGCAAGAACAGCAACAACCCCACACCCTACAGACACTGCAGCAAAACCAAATTCCTATGCAGCAGCATACAATGCAGCAGCACCAGCAGCAAGTGCAGCAGCAACAGCAAGTGCTGCAGCAGCAACACCAAATGCAGCAGCAAAAACAAAACTCTGCTCAGGACAACCTCCTGATGGTGCAGCAACAAGAGCAACAGCAACGCACTCAAGAACAACAACAGCAGCAGCAGCAATTTCAACGGCAGCTGCAGCAGCCACACATGCAGCAGCAGAATTTGCAGCAGCAGCACATGCAACAGCAGCATTTGCAGCAGCAGCATTTGCAGCAACAGCACATGCAACAGCAGCCCCTACAGCAGCAGCACATGCAACAGCAGCACATGCAACAGCAGCACATGCAACAGCAGCACATGCAACAGCAGATGCTACTGCAGCAGCAGGTCGCGCACCAGCAGCAGCATCCGCAACCGCATTTGCTGCAGCAGCACCAACTGCAGCAAACGCAGCAGAACCAGCAACCGAGCTCAAAAGAGCAGCAGCAGTTGCTGCAGCAGCACAACCAGCAGCTGCAGCAACAGCACCACCAGCAGCAGTTGCTGCAGCATCAGCAGCACATCATGCAACAACCGTCGCAGCAGCAGCAGCTCGTGCAACAGCAGCACCTGATGCAGCAGCAGCAACAACTGCTTCAGCAGTAAATGCGGCAGAAACACCTCAAATCTCTCAGTCTCCTTCTTCCTCTTGAGCTGCTGCTGCAGCAGCAGCAGCAGCAGCAGCGGATATCCGTAGGCAGCAGGCCGTAACAACCGTAGACTGGCGGGACGATGGCTGAGGGATTTATTTTTAGGGTTAGCTACCTAATGGCTAGCTAGTAATGGCTAGCTGGCTAGCTAGCCCTTAGTAGCCCGCTATTTGGCACCCCCAGCTAGCTAGCCATAGTGGCTAGCTAGCCGTTTTTCTTGTGGCCGGTTAGCCGTAACTGGCTAGCTAGCCGGTTTTCTCGTGGCTAGCTGGATGGCTAGCTGGTTTTCTTGTTGCTAGACGGCTAGCTAGGTAGCTAGCTAGCAGGCTAGCTGGTTTTCTTGTGGCTAGTTGGCTGGCTAGCTGGTTTTCTTGCGGCTATTTGGATGGCTAGCTGGTTTTCATGGGGCTATTTGGATGGCTAGCTGTTTTTCCTATGGCTAGGTGGCTAGCTAGCTGGCTATCTGGCTAGCTAGCTGGTTTTCCCCTAGCTAGCTCCAGCTAGCTAGCTGGGCGTCTGGTTAGCATGCATGCGGTAAGCTAGATAGCTAGCTGCTTCTTCTGCCGCTATCTATCTACCTATCTATCTAGCTATAGCTAGATAGCTAGCTAGCTAGCTAGCTATCTAGCTATAGCTAGCTAGTATTTTCTCTGGTGGGGTTTGTAGGGGTAAATGGCTATGTATGTACCTACAGACTTTTTGTTTCTTCCTCATGCAGCAAATTCATTTATCCGTTGACTACTATTACATACTATTTTATTTTATACTTATTTATTTGTTTATTTATTTATTTTATTATATTTACATTGTATTTATATTAATAATATACTATATATACTATACTATATATATCTACCTATCTATATATATTAGTAAATGTTGCTGTATAGAGATATACAAATATATATTTATATTTGTATATATAATATATATAAAAGAAAGTAAATAAATATATATAAATATAATAAACAATAAACAATAAATAAAATAAAATGTAAAATAAATATAATAAAGAAATTTTTATTCTTTTTTTTAGGGTTTAGGGTGCATGCAGACTGCAGCACCTAAAAAACTGCCATTGATGTGAGGCGGTTGTTGTTAGACCCCATAAACCCTAAACCCTAAACCCTAAACCCTAGGGTTTGGGGGGTTTATATATACTATAGGCAGCTGGTTAGTTGTCGTAGAAACGAACACTACTTGCATTAACATCAGCAGGGCCTTCGCTAGATGCAGCAAGAAGATGTCTACGGGCGCACCAGTCTCCATTGGGTTGGAGTGTATAGGCAGCAGCTGCAGCAGCAGCAGCAGCAGCAGAAGACGTATCCATGGCAGGTATACCCTTACGAGCCTTGAGGGACGAGACGGTCTTCATATCTGTCATTGGGCTGCTGCAGAGCAACCGCGGATCCAACTTGGACATACTACCACCTGCTGCTGCTGCTGTTGCTGCAGCAGCAGCTGCTGCTGCTGCAGGCTGTTGACTTGAATTGACGGTGAAGCAGCAGAACCACACACTGACAGCACCAATAAACACAACAGCAGCAAACAGCAGCAAAGGAGGAGCAGCTGTCTCAAGGAATCTGTTGGATTCATTTTCTTCGTCGCCTGTTGCATCATAATCATCTCCTGCTGCTCCTCCTGCTGCTGCTGCTGCTCTATGAGGTTGGCGAGAAGCAGAAGTCTGCAGAACTAACACCTGTCTTGTCTTATCTCCTTCTACGTCTTCAATTATTATTTCTGTTTGTTCTGGCGCTACCCACTCAAGCACCACCGTCCCGCTGCCATCATCATCAGCAGCAGCAGCGGATGCTGCTGCTGATGTTGCTGCTGCTGTGTTAGCTGGGATACTAGGAGAGATCCTTAGAGTAAGGAGAGGGCCGCGACGGAGTGTCTGTATGGCGAAGGCATTATTAGATAGACGGATAGTAGGGAGGGCATAGGACAAAAGAGGGAAAAGATGAACCTCTAGAGGCCACTTGCTGCTGTTGCTGCTGCTGTTGTTGCTGCGTGCAGAAGCAACAGCCACCAGCATTCTGTTGCTGCTGTTGTTGTTGCTGGTGCTGTCGTTGGTGCTGCTGCTGCTGCTGGGAAGTGCGAACTTGAGCATTTGTACTGCAGGCTTGATGCGCAGCAGCGCATCAGCAGCAGCAGGCAGCAGCGAGCCGTCAGAAGCAAGCAACAAATCGCGACTTTCTTCATCTTGTAAGATACGGAGAGGCGCAGCAACAGGCCACCGCATGCAATGAGTCCAGAACACCTGCTGCTGCACCTGCTGCTGCTGCTGCACCTGCTGCTGCTGCTGCGGTTGCTGCTGCTCCTGTCGCAGCGCCAGTGCTGAGGCAGGACGGCTCAAAGACAGCTGCAACACCGCCTCCGATACTGGTTTGCTGCTGCTATCGTTGCTGCTGCGCTGCAGAAGCTGCATGCAGCTTGGAGAACGAATGCCCTCCACTTTATCCGACAGATAACGCCAGCTTCCCCCCTGCTGCTGCTGCTCTTGCTGCAGCATATGCAGCACCTGTTGCACCGAGAGCCTCTTTCGCTCCCGCAAGACGCACACTGGCGATGCCGAGGGATGCTGCAGGCCCCCAGAGCCCAGTTTCTGCTGCTGCTGCTGCTGATCAGCAATAGGGAGGAAGAGGGTATTGACTTTGTAGAGTAATTGGAAGACTTTGTCTGGCAGATGGCAACTCAAAGACACACGCGAGTTAAACACAGGAGACACAAAAGTCATATCCCGCCACTCCTGCTGCTGCTGCTGCTGCTGTTGCTGCTGCTGCTGGGCATTTGCTGTTGAGCTGACGGGTATAAGGGCTTGCATGCGGAAGGACAACACGAAAGAACCCCCCGCTTTTAATGCGGGACAACGCGGCAGCTGCAAGTCCTCAGCATCCACCCACTTCTGCTGCTGCTGCTGTTGCTGCTGCTGTTGCTGCCATGAGAAGGCCGCACTTTCGCACGTTGGTTGTGCGAGAAGACGGAAGCGTCGAGTAGTTGCTGGCTTAGCTGCTACTACTGCTGCTGCTGCTGCTGGTGATGCATCTATGATACGCACAGCAGCAAGCGGAGTTCTGTGCTGCAGCAGCTGCACCTCTGGTGTAGGGAGAGCAGCAAAAGCAGCAACAGGCCCCCCTCTGCCTGCAAGACAATCGGCAAGGCCAACAATAACCAAAGAAGAGGGGTCTGAAGACTGCACGCCTCCAAGACCGATGCAGCTCTTGCTGCTGCTGTGGTTGCTGCTGCTGTTGCTGCTGGCGATTGACAGGCCGCCGAAGCCATATTTCCAAGAAAGGAAAGCCGCGAGGGGGAACCGCCACGATGGGCAGCAACCGCCGTTGATGCTGCTGCTGCTTGATGCTGCTGCGGGTCCCCCTAGCAGCAAATCTGCTGCTCGCTGAGAGTCGAGCCACTCTGCTTCCAGGCCTCTCCACAGCTGCTGAAGCAGCAGCAACACCCCATCAACCCTCCATGATGGCGGCAAAGCATCCAGCGTTGCTGCTGCTGCTGCAGGTGATTCGCTGCCTCCTGGTGTCTGTCTTGACACCGCAGCAGCAGCTGCTGCTGCAAGGTCGTTGATTTCGAAGTCAACAACCAGTACCAGGTTTTCCTCTCCGTCTTCTTCTACTGCACATTTGTGTTTTTGTCTTTCTGTTGTTGTTGCTGTTGCTGCTGCACTTGGGAGCTGCTGCAGCAGCTTGAGGCCACGGACGGTTACAGCTAGAGGGAAAGGGGCTGCTGCTGCAACGTTGGAGTTGGTGCTGCTACTGCTGCTGTGCTGTAGAGCGTCTTCCACGAGATGCTGCAGCTGCCGCTCCAACGGCCGTTGCACGCGCGGCAGCATTAGCAGTGCCATCATCTCTTGCGTGCTGCAGGATGCCCCCCCGCGTTTTCCTGCTGCTGCTGTTGCTGCTCCTGCTGTTGTTGAATCTGCTGCGTCTCCTTGCCAGGCGTCAAGGGCCTTGACGAGAGGCGCTGCTCTAAAAGCGAGCTGCAGGCGGAGTGCAGCAGAAGCAGCAGCAAGCTCCGAAGGAAGCAG